TGACTTGCTTTGAATGCTGGATTTGACCTACATTTTCCAGATGAGTGACCAGGTGTAAGTTTTTGGCACAGGTCCATTACCAGGAAATTATAAGGCCTATCTGAACCAAACTTGCATGGATGATCAGGGGATGAACACTCTTAAACTTGCTTCACATGCTTGATTTGAATTACATTTTCTGGATGAGTTACAAGTTTGAAGTTTTTAGATAAGTTCATTCCCAAGTAACTGCAAGCCCCATCAGATCAAAATTGCATAAATGTTGCATCTTGGGATGTATACTACTACAGTTTAGTATGGGACTTTGCCTTACTTAAAGACAACATTCATTGAGGTGAGCTCTGTAATCTCTTATAACCTATGTTTGATTTCAGTGAACATTATTGCCAGGTTAATAAAACAAAGTTTTTGTGAAATTCTTTCAAAATGCTATTCTCCTGATTAGTCTGAAAACCCATTTGTCTTCAAGTTTTTTTTTACATGTTTCAATCAGACAAAGTAAACTATACCAAAATAAATAAAATATAAGTAAGCTAAATAAAGACTTGATGTGTGTGTGTAGTTGTTTAAGATTTTATTATACAATGATTCTATGACTAAAAAAAAGAATACGTGTAAAATAATCTTGAAATGCTTCTCCACCTACAGTTTGAGTTGATATTAATGTTGCTTATGATACATGTACTAAAACATAAAGATATTTACTTTGGTGTTGCAAGGTTTAATAAAATGTTGTTGCAATGCACAAGGCACAACCTATTATAAGTACAAACTACATGTACAGTCTTTTCAGAGACTTTTGGTCAAACTTCTTGTGTCATAATTACTGTCAAACAGAGACCCAACAGCATCATTTTAAAATAATTTTTCAATGCAATTTATTAATATACCAGCGATTTTAAATTGGATATTATCACCAGCGTGGCACAGTGGTTAGAGGATTTCCTCTAAAATTGCGGAGTGAGGAGTTGGTCCTTGCATCACAGGTTTGAATCCACTGTATGATACAAAGACTGGTTCTTCAGATGAGACCATATAGATCAAATCCAGTGTCAGAGTTGGTGCTGGCATGAAAAAAGATTCCTCACTGCTCTATGGCCCTAAGTGCCCAGTATAGGTCTAAAATATGTAGCCTTCCACCAGCAGGTGGTGTCGTCTCAATATGAATGAAAATTCTAGAAGGGATGTTAAACAATCAAACAAACAAATTGGATCTTAATTTGACATGACATTAATTTTCAGTAAGGAATTTTATGTGATATTATTGCTATTCTATCAAAATCTTTCTGTCCATGGTTATTTTTTTTATTTGCAAGCAAAAGCTAGGAGCAAATAAAAGCTGACGTGACTCTTAGATTTTTTTTTTTACATCTTTACATCTTTAATGATGCTATATAAAGCAGACAACACATGTGTTCTTTGGAACACTCTAGTTGTATTTAGGTCTCATGAGTAAAAATATTGGACTATGAATTGCTATCAGATCTTCATCTGTTTTGTATTTTAGTTGGTTGCAATTTCAGCTCATTTGGTATGTAGAAGATATGGATAAAGAGGTTGAAATTCTTTTAATTTTATGGTTCCCATCCCTCTTGGTGCCTGAGGGATAAGGCTACAGAATCAGATGTTACATTCTGATCAAGAATTTCCTTGTACATTAATGAAACGGGGTCCTGCATGTCATATTTCTAGTTTGCAGGCCGATGGACATTTATTATTTGTATAATTTTTTTTTAATATTATATTTATTTTTGAAATGAAAAATCACTTGTACTGTTCAAATTATTGTTTATTGGATAAAAAGTGATACATGTATTATCAATGTATACAAACATATTATGTTCCTTAATTTAAAATGTCAATGAACAGTGTTGCTGATGCTGCTTAAAAAATAAATAACATCAAGGGCTTGCTTTCTTCAACTACACTTTTTGCAGTCCTTCTCTGCTTTGAAAAGAACTGAGAGCAATTGTAGACTAGAGTCAAATTTAAAAAAAATATATCCTTAATTTTTTTCACAACATTATTCCTCAGGTATGTGTTTCTGCCATTACCAGAATGCTTTTTTTTCTTTCAGCAAATTTTGTTGTATTGAAAGACAGTTGGTAGACTATGTTAATCTCATACATATTCATGCAGTTGTTGTCAAAAGTGAAATATATTTAAAGCAATATTTTCTTTTAGCAGACCCTAATGAAACTGTATACAGTAAAACACAGTTATAGGGAACATGTTTTAATGAATTCATGCTTAAACCAAAGTGATTTCATTCCCTATGATTTAAAAGGTCTTGCTAACTTAACAGATATCATTAATTACATGTAACATTATAATAAATAAAGTTTTTGTCCTAGGCTCTTCACTTTAAGCATTTTACTGTATATAGTAGCTTTTTTCAAATTTTTTTCTTTTGCCCGAAATTTTGTGTAAATAAGAGCATAAGTAGGATACTAATTAAAAATTACATCTATTACACATTAAGCACATTGGTTCTGAAAGGTTCTAAAATCATAATAAAAACAAAATTAACAATAATCAAGAGAGAAAATTAGAGAATGTAAATAAAAGCATTGAATTCTTATATTTGGATGTCGTCGGTCCTATAACATCACCTGTCCTTGCCGACAAATTGTCATACCATGCTTAGGCATGGTTTTCAATTTGTTGGCACAACCAGGAGCCGGTTTAGGACCGACAACATCCAAAAAATATGAATTCAATGCTTTATAGACATGACTGCAGAAACACAGTACCATGTCAGATGAAAAATTATCATTTATCAATGTGTAAGATGAAAAGTTTTCAGTAAGATTTTACTGATTTAACTGAAAATAATGGCATTGTTATTTGAAATGAGTTATTTGTCATTTGCAGTTAATTGTATATTTTCCTTGTAACACGCCTAGCTGAGGTTCTTTCCAAAGTCCCCTTCACAAGTCTTAAAGCTGAACATGACTTGTTAATGAAAGATTCATTTTTGTTGTAAATGAAAGATTCAATTTTGTCCACCATATCATCATTTCCATTTAATTTGCCATATTACTACACAATGTTCTAGAGCTTTTTCTTGGGAATGGTTTAATGCATTTTGCCTTTTACCTTTGTGGACATATCCTAGTTACCCTTGTCATTTTGTTTGTTTGTTTAATGTCCCTTTGAGAATTTTTCATTCATATTGAAACACCACCACTTGCTGGCTGAGGGCTGCAAATTTAGACGTGTTCTTGGCACTTACTGTTTTTAAACAGTGAGGGATCTTTTTTGTGCTGGGACCTATTGCGACGGGACATGAGTTTATCCAAATAACTGATCTCCACATCCCGCAGTGGGATTCAAACCTGTGATGTAAAGATCAACTTCTCACTCTGTAACTCTAGAGCAAATGTTTTAACCACTGACATGTCACATGGATGATTATTGTCATTGTGAAATATGCTGCAAGAAAGAACAAGATGTGTTTATGAAACACTGATGCCCCCATATGGCAGGTTATGGTGAAGGTTAAAGTTTCTTCAAATGCAATTCAAAATCCAGGCCAAAAGATAAAAAATGTTGATACCCAAAGAAAGGTCTTGTCTCGAGGAATACACCTGTGAAATTTGAAAGACCTAGATACAACTGTTCAAAAGTTATGGCGAAGGTTAAAGTTTTTTAAATAAAAGTCAAACGTTAAGGTCAAGGTCAAAGTGGTTGGTATCCAAAGGAAGATCTTGTCACAAGAATTACATATGTGAAGTATGAAAGCCCTAGCACCAACCATTCAAAAGTTATGGCCAAGGTTAAAGTTTTTCAAAAGTAGGTCAAACTCCTAGGTCAAGGTCAAAGGGTCAAAGTGGTTGGTATCCAAAGGAAGGTCTTGTCACAAGGATTACATATGTGAAGTATGAAAGCCCTAGCATCAACCATTCAAAAGTTATGGCCAAGGTTAAAGTTTTTCAAAAGTAGGTCAAACTCCTAGGTCAAGGTCAAAAGGTCAAAATGGTGGTTGGTATCCAAAGGAAGGTCTTGTCGCAAGGATTACATATGTGAAGTATGAAAGCCCTAGCTCCAACCATTCAAAAGTTATGGCCAAGGTTAAAGTTTTTTCAAAAGTAGGTCAAACTCCTAGGTCAAGGTCAAAGGGTCAATGTGGTTGATATCCAGAGGAAGTTTGTCACAAGGAATACACATGTGAAGTTTGAAACCCTAAGCACCAACTGTTCAAAAGTTATGGCCAAGGTTAAAGTTTTTCAAAAGTGGGTCAAACTCCAAGGTCAAGGTCAAAAGATCAAAGTTGTTGGTATCCAAAGGAAGGCCTTGTCACAAAGAATAGACATGTGAAGTTTGAAACCCCAAGCACCAACTGTTCAGAAGTTATGGCCAAGGTTAAAGTCTCATAAAATTTTTCAAAAGTGGGTCAAACTCCAAGGTCAAGGTCAAAAGGTCAAATATGATGGTACCCAAAGAAAGGTCTTGTCACAAGGAATACACATGTGAAATATGAAAGTCATAGCTCCAACCAATCAAAAGTTATGGCAAGGGTAAAGTTGACAACAGACAGACAGACAAACGGACAAACAGACAAATGGACAAACAGACAGACAGGACAAAAACAATATACCCCCGGGATCTTTCGATCCGGGGGCATAAAAAAAACTATTGCATGCACTTGCTATGGATATTTATAACGTGAATGAGATTCACAGAGGAGTATCATTACTAGGTGTAATTGTTTTATTTATGTACTTGTTTATCTTCTATTGATGTGTCCCTTATGCAATAAAGCATTCATTTGTAAGAATGTGAAGGATTTACCCAAGTGCTGATATTGGAGATAGGAAAAGTGATATGGCATATGCCTAATTATGTGAAACTGTGTTCAACTTTAATTATCACAGTGAATTGTTCAAACAAGGGAAGTGGTCTGAAAATGTCTTGTTCATCTCAAATGTCATAGGAGAATTTTTAAATTGAAAATTTAATTTTGTTTTTTGTTACTACATCTGGTTTCTTCATCACAGGGTGACCTCAGACAGATCAAATGGGGATAGAGCAAGGTATGTTATGTAGTGTCTTCTGCTGAAATAGCTTAACAAGACCCATTCTAGTTGGAATTTATGAAAACAAACTGGCAATTTTTTTTTTTTTTTGGATATATATATTTTTAAATCCATTCCTCATATAGATAATAAAAATAAAATTTGGGGTAGCTTTTATTGTAGTAGAAAAGGAGCATATCAAAACACAAAAATAGAACTGCAAGTATTGTCTAAGATACTGAGTACTTCACAAGTCACAGTAGATTTAAATAATATCAACAAATGATTGTTGTACTGTATATTTCTCAAAATTAAATGCTTCTTACATTCTGAAAGAATTTTCTTTCCATTTTTTATTACATTTAAAACACAACATGTATTTATGCAGGGGGGGGGGGGGGGGGGGGCACTAAAATTACAAAACTTTGTTACATGTAGGAAACACATATTTCTTTTTGCTTGCAAATAACTCATATAATTTTTATTAAACAAAATCAATATACTGCATGCATATTTAAGCAGAATGGGCCTCAATATGCCATAGCCATTTGTGCAGTAGGCCCAAACATTTTGGAAAGTAATTATAAAATAAATATATATTGTGAACCCTTGAGCCAGTTTCTATCATATTTTCTAAAGAACATCAATGTTTCAAGTACTTTTTGCATGTTTTCCATGTGCATATTGATAATTTGTGTATTAAAATTATTCAATACAGATTGGAAGGGAAAGGAGGTGGTCACAAGTTTACAAAGTTAACCTGAAAATTTACTTTGAGAAAATTTTTTTTAACAATATTAGGATGAGTATTATTAATAAAAAGTTCATGTGTGTTCCAGGCAAGGTGTGACAAGCCAATAGTAGTCCAACTATCTCATATTTTAATAAAAAAAAAATATATAATATTATGGATATTTAGTATTGATATAGAATTTTATTATGTACCCAACTGTTTTTCACTCAGTTTTACTGTTGAATTTATGCAATCATGTGACAGTGTGATCCAATGTTCTGGATCACCACACTGTGGTTTTCTGAATCCATATCACCTCTCTCTGAAAATGATGATGTAGTACATGTACACAGATAAATGACATTTTTATTCTCGCACATCAAAAAGTTCCTTGACAAAATGGTTTGTTTAAGGGATAAAAGTTATATAATTGATCAAAAAAGTTTCCTTTTAGTATATTTTTCTAGTTGTAAAGGGGTATATAATAAGTTTATCATTATAACAGTAACTTGATCCGAAGAGCCGTATCACATCTTGTTGACAGGTGTGGATCATAAGGTCAAACTCGACGCTTCGCGTAGTTTTTGCAAGAGTTTCAAATATTTTTGGCATTGTTTATCAAAATTTGAAAATCAGTTTGTTACATTTTCAGCAGTGAAATACTGCAATTTATTTATTGAATAAAAGTGATATTCTGACACAGTGTGAAAGAGTATCAAAACGGTATTCTCACAGTGTGAAAATATCAGAAATGTGGCAAAATTCTTGATTTTCCTTCAAGACAGAGTCAAAGAGAAAATCAAAGAAAATGTAATGAACAGAAAATTCAATGTTTTGTAGATGAATATGGAATTTACTTCACTTGTGACATAGGATTTTTTAATATTTTCAATCGTGCTTCACACTCTTGAAAATATTAAAAAAAAATCCTGTCCCACTCATGAGATAAATTCCATATTCATCTACAAAACATTGAAATTAGCCTCTATATACACCATACTGTGTACATATATCTTGGTATTGTCTACTCAGTATGTGTTCCAAGTTTTATTGAAATCAGACCAAAAACTGGTTAAGGAATAGGTTTTGAAAGAAATTTTTAGGGAATCCTATATTTTAGTAACCATAGAAACACCATTTGTTGAAATTTAGATCTGATATACAAAATTATGTATTATAATGTAGCCCTCTTGTGTACTTACTTTTATTACCTCACCTGAGTCAAAGGCTGAAATGAGCTTTTCTGATTGAAAATTTACCTTTGTATGTTGACATAGGTGACATATATAGGTTTCTCATTTTTATACCCCAGGTGTAAACAGAGTTTAGGGGTTAATATTAAAATGTCAGCGTGTCCATCTGTCTGTAGACGTGATTCTGTCTGGACAGGTACTTGGAGACTACTGCATGGATTGCCTTGGAATAGTTTTAATTGACAATGCACTAAATATCATTCAGACCATTAGTGACTGCATATCTATCAAAAATGACAAAATTTTCTGGTTGGTCAATGTATTTTGACATCATGAATGTCGTCATTTTTCCCATATTCTGAAAATTCTATAAAAACTGCCAAACTTTTAAGCTTTTTTTCATATTTCTTATAGAGTTCATTAACCTCTGATCTAAAATGTCCAAGTATATAATGAAAGAAATGTATCCCAATCTTACAGAATATGTTTCCTTTTTTGGATTGAGAGGTGCACTCATATTTGATTCTTCACTGAAAGTACTGAAATAAAACTTTTTTTTTTTTTCAAAATTCACAAACATTGTAATTCCACAAAACCAATTTTCTAATACCTGTAGTGATATAATATGCAATTTATCAAACAGATGTGGAATCTGGATAGGGCCATGTATTTCACTTTTGCTTCATAACACCATTAAGGTTTGGGTCGATAGTGGAATGACTCGATAAAGATATGAAGATTTAAGTGATGACAATGAAGCAATGGTGCAATAGCACTTTGATGATAATGCAGTGGCAAGACAATGTGATGACCGTCATGTGATGGTGTGATAGAGATGACACGATGGTGCGATTAGGATGGTATGATGATGATGAAGTTATGTTCACTATCCTTCTATCGTGCTATCTCACCATTGTCATCGCATTGTCAGATCATTGTCATAATGTTATCACACCATCTCTTCATCGCCATCATATTATTGCGCCATCAACCCTTCAGTCGATGATAGGATAGTGAACTACATCAGGCCGTATCCAGATTTCATACACAGCAGATAGTGTAAATCCATTTGTCCCTGGGGAGTAATGAGTGAACATGCATCAAGTTAAAGATTAAATAATGAGTATAATGTAGGAAGGTTGTCCTAATTATATCTGTTCAGCATCTCTGATCAAGCAAGTGTCATGTATATCTTTGGAATTGGGCAGAAGCATTAAAGAAGGGGGCATCCATTTTGGACAGTTTTAGTCATCTCTAGAACCAATGGGCCAATTTCAATCAAAGTTTGCACAAAGTATTTTTGGTTAAAGGGAATTAAAGTTTGTTCAAATGAGACTGTCCCTTTCCAAAGGGGAAATCAAGAAAGGGCACAAATAGATTGAGGTCATTTAAAATCCTTCTCAAGAACCACCAGGCCAGAACAAATTTTATATATGAATATATATAGAAAAAAATTTAAAATATTCTCAGGATTAGAAGAGCCATTATTAGTCACATTAATTTGAAAGGCTCCTTTAGATATAATAGTGGCTGTGCAGATTTCAGTTTGTTAAAATTGTGGCTTGGAGAATTTACCAGAGTTTTACATGAATATATAGGAAAATTCTTTCAGAATCTTCTTTTCAAGAGCAGCAAGGCTATTTGTTTGTTAAATGTTAAAAGTCCCTTTGAGAATTTTTCATTCATATTGAGATGCCACTTCTTGCCAGTAGAGGGTTGCAAATTAAGACCTGTTTTCAGCACTTACAGCCTTTGAGCAGTGAGGAATCTTTTTCATGCCAGCGTTTCCTGCAACACAAGACCTTGGTGTATGTGGTCTCATATGAAGGATTGGTTTCTGCATCACACGAAGGGATTTGAACCCACAATATAAGGATCAACTTTATACTCCATTGCTCTAGTGCAAACACAACCACTGCACCCAGCAAGGCCATGATGAGTCACATTAATAAGCTAGCATCTTCAGATTGTGCAGATTCAAGTTTGCTCAAAGCACCCCTCTTGGGGAGGGTAGAGAGGGGCCACAATTGAGTTTTAATGATCTATGAAATTTTTAAAAATCTTTTCAAGAGTAGCAGCTTAGGGCCACATGTACAGTAAACATATGAATATTCAAACATTCAAGTTTTGTGGAGTGGATTCATGATTTTTGGGGTTTTTTTCAAATTATGAATTCCAGCTAGGGATGAGTTTTTATATAGATAAGGTGTGTATACAGAAAAGAGAACCTTTTAAATGTAATTCTTCTCCAAAACAGCAAGCTCGTGTTGATCATATTGGTATTGAAGCATCCTGAGGCATCATGAGTATATACAAGTTCTATGTTGTCTCCCTTTGGGGATAGAGTTGGCCACAATACGGGGTCATATCTTTTCATGCAAATAAAGGGGAGGAAATCTTTCATATTGGACTTAAACTGTATGAGTAGCATTTTTTAAAGAATGTCACCAAAAAAAAAATAGTCATGTTTAGTAAATATTGGGCAAACCATTTGTAAAAATCAAAATCTGATACATGTTTAAAGAATTATGTAAAATAGTATACTGATTACAGAATTTTCACTGCTTGATAAAAATATGGGGCTTGTGGTAGGTGTGACTGATCGATGATACTACTCCTAGGCACCTATTCCCACCTCTGGAATTTCTGGGAGACTGTGTTTTATGCCCTTTTGTAGATTTGTATTGTTTGTAGATTTTTCTAGCTCAGCTGAGCCGAAGGCTCAAGTAAGCTTTTCTGATCAAAATTTGTTCGTTGTCTGTTATTATTGTTGTTGTCGTTGTAAACTTTTCACAATTTCATCTTCTTCTCCAGAACCACTGGGCCAGTTTCAACCAAATTGGCACAAAGTATCCTTGGGTGAAGGGAATTCAAGTTTGTTCAAATGAAGGGCCACACCCTCTTTCAAGGGGAGATAATTATATTAATGACCTCCAGGCCTAGCGTTGGGTCACAATAGAAGATCAAAGTTTTACATAGGAATATATACAATTTTTAAGAAATCTTCTCAAGAACAGCAAAGCCATAATTGGTCATATTTATATGGAAGATCCTCAAGTAGTGTAGATTCAGATTTCTTCAATTCATGACCCCTGGGGGTAGGGTTGGGTCACAATGAAAGTTCAAACTAATAGGAAAAAAGCCACAATTTGGCAAAGAAATGTGTAAGCGTCCTTTGTGTAGATTCAAGTTTGTTCAAATCATACCCCCTCCTTTTTTAAGGGGTTGGTCTGAGCCACTTATGCATTTATACTTTTTAATACTGAACTAATTTCTGCTTTTTTCCTAAAGTGCTCAGGTGAGAGCGATCTGGCCCATGGGCCTCTTGTTGATAATTGTATGTTATATTCATCTTTTTCACATAAGTACCAAGCTATATGGAAATTGAACCAAACTGTAGTCGCAGAAGTGTTGTGAAAAATGTTTACAGAGGAGGAAGAGACAGAAGGACAACCAATTTTACCATTGTATACTCTCTAATCTGTTCTCTGATCCTTTGATCACCAAAGCTAACAAGAATATGTCATTTCATTGTAGTACATGTGTAATATACATGTATCCTTTGAATTTGAATTTGAAATAGGGCCCATTTTCTTAATTTTAGGACCCCTACATCAGCATCTGGAGTTACCATGGAAGCAAAGTATGTAAACACTGTTTGAAATTTTCCCCTTACACTTTTAAAGTTAAACTATCAGTGTTTCTATAAAACTGTTTGTAATTTCTACTTGCTTTTAATCCGTAGACTTAACTAAACATACTTCAAATTATGCATGCAGATGTCTTAAATGCTTAATCTTTAATGTTAAAACTTTTTTATTTCTCTTTGGTTGAGCTACTGCACTTTAATGAAGAATTATTAGATACATTAGAGAAGGTTTTGCAGACCAACATGTATGTGTAAAATACAATTTAAAAATACAGGTGCGCATTTACATTTTTAGCTCACCTCAACGAAGTAGGGGGAGCTTACTAGTATGTAATACCCTCGGCGTCAGTGTCCCAGGTTAAAGTTTTTGGAGCAGATTTCTATTCAAGTACATCTATGCCCTATATCAATCAGAGGTACATGGAGGATGCTTCCAATGTGTTTTATTGTACCAGTCAAGGTTTCAGGTGCTGCAGTTTCATCTAAAGAATGACCAGGTTAATGTTTTTTGAGCAGGTTCAAGTTTTTGGAACAGACCTCATTTCCAAGTATTTATTTGTCCTATGTTGACTAAACCTGCTGGGATGATTCACCTAATAAAGGATGCACACTACCAGGCTTGCTTCGGATGCTGGATCTGACCTACATTTTCTGGATAAGTGACCAGGTTAAAGTTTTTGGAGCAGATCTCATTTCCATGTAACTGTAAGTCTTATGTTGACCAAACTTGCATTGATGATACATCTGAGGATGCACACTTCTGGACCTGCTTTGGATGCTGGATCTGACCTACATTTTCCGAATGAGTGACCAGGTTAAAGTTTTTGGAACAGTTCTCATTTCCAAGTAACTTTAAGCCCTATATTGACCAAACTTGCATGGCTATTACATCTGTGGATGCACACCACCAGATTTGCTTTGGATGCTGGATCTGACCTATATTTTCCGAATGAGTGTCTAGATTAAAGTTTTTAGATAACTTCATTCCCAAGTAACTGCAAGCCCTATCCAACCAAAATTGCATAAATGTTACATCTAGCTAGGGATGCACACTCCTAGATTATTAGTTTAGTGTGGGACTTTGCCTTACTTATTGACAACATTCATTGAGGTGAGCTCTGTAATCTCTGATTACCTTTTTTTTTGTTTTTGTTTTTGTTTTTTGTTTTGTTTTGGTTTTTTTTGTTTGTTTAGCAATTATAATTTGTACATGAACTTTTAAAGGTTTAATTAACTGTCAAGATTATCTGCTTATATATTTATAATGTAACATCACTAAATCAATTGAATATAAATAAATATTTATAAAAAAATAAGTTTTAAAATGAGTTCTTATAACAGTGATACATTACATCAATGTTTTGAAAGTCAAGATTAATCTATTCAATTCTTCATAAAATAATATTTTACCATGAAAACAAAGTTCCTTATATCAGTAGTTTCAGGTTTTAGACTTACACTTTGAAATAAACAGCAAAAAAGAAAATATAACATAAATTTGAACCTATGAGTACTCATTGGTCAACACATACAGTGTTCATAGATACATGTAGAGTTTTAGCCAAAGTGATGACAATGCACAGATTTTTGGGGGAAGTGGTCCCTACGACTTGTATATGTTGGTTTGTGAAACTTCTCTATTAGGGCCTTTTTTACAGGTTACCAATTGCTATGGGTCCCTTTTTATTACCATGCCTTGTCTGCCTTTCATATTTAAGCTTTTGAACATTTTAGTTATTTCTCTGCTTAATGTAACATACATGAATGAAGGACATACCATTCTTGGGACGTTGGGAGTTAAGCATAGGGCCAAAACATGTTATCTTCAAAAAGTTTTATCTCTATTTTCACACATCTAGTGAGCAAACTGTTTGCATGATTATATTATGATCAGCACTTCAATGTAGCTCCCTCTGTGTGAAACTCAACTTTGGTGGGCCTGCTTGGTCATTGATTGAAAATACCTTTCTCCTTTAAGAATTTTCTTTATTCAATTACAATAAGCAAGCAAATTTTCTTTCTTCAGTTACAATAAGCAAGCAATATGTTATAAGCTCAACTGAGTCAAAGCTCGAGCTTTTCTGATGAAATTTTATACATTGCCTGTCAACGTCATTGTTGGCATTGTTAACTTTTTACAATTTGTCTTCTTCTTGAGAACCACTGGGCAAATTTCAACCAATCTTGGCACATACAGTATTCTTGGGTGTAGGGCATTCAAGTTTCTTCAAATGAAGGACTACACCCTTTTCCCTGTAGAGATATTTAAGAAAAAGTAAAAATGCTCTGAGGTCATTGAAAAAAGAAACATGTATTGTCTGGGCAAGAAAAGCCTTTTGAAAGCTTCCTGACATAGTGTAGATTTTTTTTTCAAAGCAGGACCCCAAGGGGTAGGATGGTCTAAGTTTTACATGGGTACATATATTTAGGAAAAATTGCCTCAAAAACAGCAAAGTCATGATCAGTAATATTTATATAAAAGCATCCTGAAGTAGTTTAGATTCTGGTTTGTTCACATCACTACCTCAGGGTAATATATATATATATATATATATATATATATATATATATATATATATATATATATATATATATATATATATATATATATATATAAAATTCCTCTCTGCAAATAGTGAAATATGGTCCCAAAATCTTGGGGCCTTAGGAGGGGACAAATTGATCAAAAATTGTAAATGCATTTCTACTTATATCAGAGATAATAGAGCTAAGAGAGCTAAAATTGCTTCATCTTCCCTTAATTTAGAGTCTAGTGCAGGACCCTCTATACCCAAGTGAATATTTCCTTGGACATTAAGAAAGTTATATAAATAAGTATAATTGAGTTTATTCTTTTCATTTTCATTAGCCATATGCATTTATTCATGAGGGAAAATGTTCAAATGCAACAAAGTATTGTTGAACAGAAATCACTTGATCTTGTTTTCTTCAATGAGAATTACATCCATAAAAAGTTTGAATTCATTTATCTTGGCGTAATAAAATGTAAAGAATTATTGAATTGCTTACAGATTGAATAATAAACAATATTATTTTAGATCTTAAGACAGATCACTCTAACCCCATAATTATACTATCGAATTTAAACTCTGAAGTGTGGATTGTATAGAGGATTCCTATTCATTCCATTATGAACATATGAATGATTTTTTTTTTTTGTTGATATATGCTTTACCAAAAAAAAGCCTCAGTCTTATGTTCCATTGGTTCAATCCCTTTAAATATACATGTAAGGTCAAGGTTGAAAGAAATGTAAGTTGATGTGAGGAAAACTTAGAAATTCCTTGATTATTAATGTATCTGCCTGCAAAAGTTCACAACAAAAAGTCCATAGTTCTGGCTTGTTTGCAATGCATGGTTTTCTAAAATCACTGTATCTCATGGCATTAAATTTTCTTTGGAGTTCGAGACGCTATGTATACTAAGAACGTATGTTTTGCTTACCTTTTACTTATCGTATTGCCAAGTACATGTATTGTTTACCAGTATTTATTGCATTAAAAATCAATCAGTGATTTTTAGAATTTGATTAAAAGTCAATCTGTATGTGAAATATAATTTGATTCATATTTTATTTTAATTAATGTTTGTGTTACCTATTAAAGCCATTGTTTTACTCTATCCTATAATTTCAGAGAGAATTAATAGGGAAAATGAAAGTAGCTTTCCAAATACATAGTAACAAGCACAAAAGGATTTGCCACCATTCATGTGAAGATTGAAATTGAAAATAATATTCTAAAAAGACATTTTAAATTACAGAACTCTTTAGATTTTAGTCTTTTTTTCTACTATATTAATTGTAGTTTAAATGACTAGATATATATAGCCATTTTTCTTCATTATGTACACTGCTTCTGTGGTGATTTTAGTACTAACATCACATATTCTTAGTCGATCATTAATCTTTTAGGATTGAGTGTCTCTGTTACTAAATAATAAGAGCTCTTTTTTGCACGTGGTTGATGTGTTTTGAGCAATTTATGATGTTGGTTTTTTTTATTAATCCATTATTTATAACTGGTGAATTCAGATTCTGATAAATATATATATAAGCAGGATGTTTGTAAGTCATATACATTGTTGATGACAAATGTAGCTCAGCTAGATCAAATCTGCTAATTCAGTACATGTTGTAAACACGTTTGGGGGAAATTTTGTAAATGGAAAGGATTCGGAAAGATCTTAAGACTAATGAATTTTTGTCTCACACAATTAGGACAAAGGTTTTAATAAGCTTCTGTGAACATCATCAGAAATCAAGGAGGTCAAATCAAAATTAAATCAAAAAGCATAATGTATGAAGGTCTGGGAAGTTTTCATAAGGGAGAGGAAAAAAAGCTTTTTTTTAATAAAAAAAAAAAATTCTGACAAGCAAGAAAAAAATAAAATAAATTAATGATGAGTGATTTTGAAAGGGGGAATGGACTGAGCATTTTTTTAAAGCAAAAAAGACCTAGTATATCATTGCCAATGCAGCATTGGGATTACAAGGTGGGGGGGGGGGGGCTGGGGGGGTTCCAGATTTCTAAAGGAAGGATACCAAATTACCAAAGCCAGACTTCAGATATGTGAATTTAATATTGTGGAAAATGTAACTAAGGGAGAGCTTGCCATCTGCTGTGGCCATCCTCAGATAGATATTTAGCAAAACCAGTAAATTAATCCAATTTTTCTTTCACTAGTGTTCTGATAAAATACTGGCATGTCATTAATCTTTGGAAAAATGGGGATATTTTTATCACATGTGGAGTTATAATTACTTTGTATTCAAAAGAAAAGTCTGTATACCAGTTATATTATTAAAACATATAAAATTTTAATACTTATATTCAAGAGATTTTACCAAAATAAATGACGTACATGTACTTTTTCAGTAATTTGTATTGAGGGATGATTGTATTGTCTTTAAAGCTTTTTATATAAACAGGATGTTGCTTTATTGTTGTTACATTAGGAAAAAATCTCTAAATAAGCCAACTGAAAAAGGCACTGAGGTGAGCTCTTTAAACACCAAACCAGTTGGACATCCTTTGCCTGAAACACCAAATGGTCGTAAAAATCAGCTGGAACCCATCAGTGTAGAAGTGGATAATTCTGCAAGAGAGAAAAAGAAGAAAAAGAAAAAGAAAGAAAAGAAGGAGAAGAAGGAGGCCTCTGAGGAACTCCAGTTTTAAGATGCAAGAGTAGAGAACAAGTGAAAATCTATGATTATGAAGTAACAGAAATCCGAGTGATATTTTATTCAAATGAAGCATTGTTCTTTTTTGTATATGTTAGAGAGTTTTTTTTTTATTTTAATGCCATACGAGTGTTTGAAAATTGTGCCATATAATTGACTGTTTGATTTTTATTTATTTTCATTTGAATGATTGTGCAAGACAAATATTTTTACTTGTTATTGCATACTTATTTCTTACTAAATGCGTTTTAAATAGAAAACACTGTATCTAAATTCTTTTCCTAGGTCTTCAAGTATCTCTAGTCCTTGAATAATTTGATCTACAGCATGAACTTGCCTTGGTCCGCGTTCTTACTCTGTGTTTCCTCAGTTTGATATATAATCTAATAGTTTAACTAATTCTAGTTTAGTTTTTATTATTATCACAAGATGTACATAATTCTTTGTTCTGATGTATTTATTGATTGAAAACAGTTCTGACTTCAAGGAGGTTTGATGTTAATAAAAATTAATACCTATGAAATTCTTGTTAGCCGATAACCAAAACATTTTACCAGAAATAGCATCAAGCCTTCTTACATGAAACAAACAAGATTAATCGCTTATTTCATTGTATTATTACCGTCCTTTTTAAAATAAATTCTTGAAAATTCTGTTGATTGTGACTTTTGAATGATTTTGGATTCACTTTGGCATTACAGTCTTTGATTCTTGTGTATACAGTGCTAAAAGCTGTAAGTGTTTAAAATCAATTTTATATAGTGTTGACGATTGTGGATAAAGTAATATATGGAATCAGAATAAATTACTCATTAGTACATGTATTTTTATTAATAGCTTAAAGTGAAAAAAAAATTAGTTGATCCGTTTCAATAAAATTGGGAATCAAATTGCAATGATTCTTTAAAAGCTGTGACATATAATCTATTCACGAAGTTAAATTTTGGATACAAATACAAATACAAATATTTATTGGCACAAACACAATTACAATAATTGGCAAAGGCACAACACATTATAAGAAAAATCGATTGTTCATACATAAATACACAATATTTTAGTATAGAATGTGAGGCTATACATAATTATAAATCACACATCATTTGTATAATAATTATGTAATGCAATCATTTCTAGATGCAAGACATTTTTTAATAAATGAGTGTGTTATTTTCAGTATTTCTGGACAATGGCTATTAAAGCAAAGCTTAACTTTTTGAGTATAAGACATATTTGATATTTTTCCTTGAAAAAAATTCATCAAGTTCCTTTCAAAAGTTAACCTATAATTATTGTATTTATGGCAGCTGAATAGAAAATGAAATTCATCTTCAATCTCCCCTGTGTTGCAAATATTACAAAATCTTTTATCTGTGGGTATAGACAAATGTCTCCCTTTTTCTATGGCAAGGTTATGTGCACTAAGTCTCAACCTGCTAATAATTGACCTCTCTGTTTTCTTTTTTAATATATCAGTGTATCCACAGCGTTTGAAATTATTAAAAACAACTTGATAAAATTTTAGTTTTGATGAATTATGAATCTTTGCATATTCCTCTTGTAAGCATTGATCTGATATTCTTAGTTTTATGTTTCTCAGAAGTGATTTTATTGAATTTTCTTTTTTGGTAATGAATGAAAATCCTAACTTATTGAAAATTGAAAAAATATTTTTAGTCCATGAGTTTGTTTTGACTGTTGCTTTATAGATTTTAAATACTAAAGTATTCTTGGAAGTAATAAGATGGTTCCAAAATTTTATACTGGAAAAATGTATTCTTGTCCACAGGGGATGTCTACCTAAATCTGCTCTGCAGGGAGCATTAGTAGTTTTACAATGTACTCCTAAAATTTCCTTAATAAACTTCATGTGAAATTTTTCAATTATAGAATTTTCACCAATGTTATTAGGCTATTGCTACTTTGCGGAACGAAACGAAACGGAACGGAACCAGTTGTGGGGTACCTTGTGGGGGATTAGAAATGAAAATAAAATGCTACTTTATTATGGTACATTATGTTTTTAATAGCTAAACATAAATTTCTCCACAGTATCAATTAAAGAATTGTAAAATAAAATGCATGTAAGAGCTAGTTTATAATTATTTTGTCGTGTTGGTTTTTCAGATGCTGCGTCATCTGTAGTTACTAGGTAAACTGTATTGAATGATTGATATGCATTTATTATTGATTTATTATTTATGTTTAAAAAAAGAAAAGTAAAACTATCCAAATTTTCCGTCAAGAACTTGGATACATCATTTATCTATTTTATTTTTTACCAACACGTCAGTATAGAAAATAGAGTTGTCCCGCTTTGCCAGCATTAACGAAATTCTCTGGTTCCGTTCCGTTCCGCTAAATACCAGTATCTATGTGGATATTAGTATTTAGCGAAACGGAACGAAACGCAGTGAAATTGAAATGTCAATATGATACATATGCAAGCACCCTGTTATTATTCAAAGGAAATTCCGCATTAAAAGAAAATACATGTACATAACAAAGACACGAAAGATTAGAAACCATCTTCGAAGAGGAAAAAATCGGGTCAAGAAAGAATGTTTATTAGATTTTTGACTTTTCATAAAGCTTGATTATTTGTCATTATAATAATGTATTTACGGCACTGGTCTTTATGTTGATAAGAAAACTCAAATACGTTCCTTTCCGTTCCGCTAAATACCAGTATCTGTGTGGATATTAGTATTTAGCGGAACGAAACGAAACACAATGATATGAAATATATGAAGAAATAAGTTGTTACATGAATGTCATATTTTTCATTAAAAAATAAAATATACTATGAGGTAAACTAATTTGCGTAATACAGTCATTTGGAATATTCCGAATTAACCAGGATTGTTGTGTTATATAATGTTTGTGACAGCAATAATTTTGCATACAATTAATATTGTTCCGTTCCGTTCCGCAAATTACCAATACCCACACGGGTATTGGTATTTTGCGGAACGAAACGAAACGAAACCATAGGTTTCCTATTGAAGAGAAAGATAAAATTAAATTTAAAAAAAGTACGACAGCAGACACAATTTTTTCAATGTGTGGTTTGATATTGTTTGATTGTGAAAAAAGTGTGATAAATATGGATTTAGATGATGTTAAAAATAAAAACGCAAATATCTTTTCCTCAATTGCTCAGCATTTTATATACCATATTTGGTATTATGTAAATGTTATTATATGCATAATATATTGGATGAATGAAGTACTTAGCGTTACAACAACCTTTAGGACAGTAAAATGTTCAGCATATACATTATTTTGTCGTGTGAGTTTTTCATCTGGTGTGACATCTGTCGTTGCTATGTAAACTGTATTGAGTGATTGATATGTATTAATTATTGATGTAAAATGACTTGATCCAAATGCTTGGGTACAGTGCTAAAGAAATATCGTTTTGTTTATAAACACGTCCAAAGTAAAGAGAGTTTTCTCGCTTTGCCAACATTGACCATTCTTTGGTTCCGTTCCGTTCCGCTAAATACCAATATCCATGTGGATATTAGTATTTAGCGAAACGGAACGGAACCAAGTTACCCTTGAATCATATTTATAAATGTACGAGTATTTTATGAGTTTCAGTCTGCTATTCCTTATCGGTAAATCTTATTATTTTATTTTTAGATGACTTTATATCTAATAACATGGTAATCTGAGAAAAAGCTCCTGCATTCAAATAATTAAAAGTGACATCGTTAATAATGTGCAAAAGTATCCCAAATGTCAACACTGTAAGTATAGAAATGTTTTTGATTGTTTGAAATGATTTTAATTCAAAGACACTTGAATAAAATTTCTTGGTAAAAGGTAGAATTACAAGCTTTGAATGACTTTCTAATTAACAACAAATCTCTAATCTTAAATCCTCTATCAGCCATAATTTCATGACCTGGTCGTACATAATTTAAAAAAAACACAATTCTTAATAATACCCTGTCAGATTCCCTCAAGACATCAAGATCAATATATTTTCAACCTTCCTGCATGTACACACTCTAAAAGAGATAACAGCAACTTTCCTTTGCGACAATCTGGGAAAAAAATCCGGGGAAAATTTTTTCTTGTCTCTTTAGTATTGATTATCTAAATTGAATAGACGGAATTCCACTTTTCATAATTAAAAAGAATTAGATTAATTGTCTAACAACAGCTAGAGTGCTTGCATATACATCATTAGATTTCAACTTCGCTGTGTTTCGTTTCGTTCCGCTAAATACTAATATCCACATGCACGGATTTGGGTATTTTGCGGAACGGAAAGGAACCAGATATATAATGTCCATTATAAAGAGTGTAAATCTGAACCTCATGAATGTATCAATAAACACTGAATTAGCTAACATTTCTGTCGGCCCATAACACATTACACATATAACGTTACACAATACTATTGAAACTAGTCTATAAATGTTTCAATTGATTGAGAAATGGTATTTGAGTTTTATTATCAGCATCAAGGACCGCAATATATAAATATATAATAATAAATTATAAAATGATAATGATGTGCGTACATGTGCGATTTTATAGTCTTTCTGAAAAGTCAAAAATCTAATTAAAAATCAGGCATATTGATTCTAACTGTCCTTGTCTTTTTCATATTGCTTTTCAAAATTTAAAATACAGGGTTTAATTTTTTTTTTATAATTTAATTAAAAAAATAACAGAGTGCTTGCGTGCGTAACATTACAAGTATTCAATTTCGCTGTGTTTTGTTCCGTTCCGCTAAATACTAATATCCACACGGATATTGGTATTTAGCGGAACGGAACGGAACCAGAGAATCATGTCATGCTGCGGTATAATTCGACGACTCTCTTTACTATACAGACTTGTCAGTAAACAAAATAAACGATGTACCGAAGTTCTTGACGGTAAATTTGGATAGGAATGCATCATTAATAGATGAATATCAATCATTCAATACTGTTTACATAGTAAGTAGAGATGTCAGCAAAAATTAATGCTTTAACTAGCTTACAGGCATTTTATTTTACAGCTCGCTACTTGACACTGTGGAGTAATTTATGTTAATTAAATAACATTATTTATTTTTTTTAGTTTTACATTCATTTTTATTTCCCCCACAAGGTACCCCACAACTGGTTTCGTTCCGTTCCGTTTCGTTCCGCAAAGTACCAATAGCCTGTTATTATAAATACCCCAGATCTCACAGCAATAAAGAAGAACTGGTGTTATAATTGAGTCAAAGAGTTTTTCCAAAAGTTTACATGGATTATCCAAACCAATGGTTTTCTTAATCTTAAAATAGGCTTTTCTGGCCTTTTCCATAAGTACTGACATAGCTAAGTTCAGATTTCCATTACATTTCAAGGTTAATCCAAGATAACAAAATTTTGATACTGTTTGAAGAACACTTCCATTATATGTAAACTCATTGATGCAAAATTTACCATTTGAGTTAAAAATAAGGACTTTAGACTTCTCAACATCGACCAGTAGTTTCCAATTAGAACAATATGTTTCAAGAATGTTCAAACAATTCTGTAACCCAGTTTTACTTTCAGATAATAAAACAATATCATCAGCATATAATAGACAATTTACAGAGATTTCACCAATTTGAACAGGATCACAATTGCCTGTTTTAAGTTCATCAACAATACCATTAATAAAAATGTTGAAGAGAGATGGGCTTAAGATATCACCTTGCTTAACACCACATTCAGATGTGAATGATTTACTGAGACCATTAGCAAACTTTATCTTGGTTTTTGTATTCTCATACATAGAAAATATGATATTGAACATATTGGTGTGTATATTGGATTTCAAAAGTTTATAATAAAGTCCAACCCTCCATATAGTGTCAAATGCTTTACGGAGATCGATAAAAGCTGCATAAACCTTTTGCTTTTTGTATTAATATCATATAGATTGTACTTTAAGGAATCATAAATACAAATTTTAGCTAAATATAGATCTTTAAATGGTAAATTACCAATCGAAAGTGGAAGATGAGAAGATACTGAAAGAGATAATAGAATATGACTTTCGTATGAGACCAAAGAGGGTGTTGCAGAAACTCACGATTATTCCCTATATATCAAGAAGGACATTTAGAGTGTATTCGATTAACAGGTCGAGACCACTAGATTTTCTGACGTCAGCATAAATTTGCATGTAAATTAGCTATCTTTTTACTTTACCGACTGTTGAATGAGTCGCAATGCATTGTGGGCTACTACAAGTACTAATACGAACTCGGTTGTGTTGAAAATGAGGAGCAACTTTAATTGTCCCCTGGAAACTCATTTGCAATTCTTTTTTATATTGATGAAAGAAATATTGAAAGTGATGTATAATCTTTCATTTCTATGCTCACATTTACAAAATTTGCTTTATGAAGCCTTATTTCAACTTGCAATACATCGGCGTAAACTATTGTTCGAAGAGACTAAGTGCTATTGTGTCGATAAACCACTGAGTTTGTTTTTTCACGTGATATACATGCATGTACATAATTTTAGACAGCAGTACAAGGTGCGCAATTATTATTTAACTCCTCAGTATCATCAAAATGTTTTATGTGCAGGCAAAGTCAAAGCGTTTGTACGGTATTATTCTTCTAAAACAACTCCAATATTAAATGTGAGCATAGAACAGTGTCTTTGGAATATAATCTTTCAATTTCACCCTACTAAAGTAAAAAAGAAGTTGTACAGTTTTTCCTTGCGGCTTGGCCAAGATCAGGTGCCCATGTTGGTTGCAGATTAACAAAAAAAATGAAGTGAAATGAAATGTGTTACAAGTATGTTCTATGTAACACTACATCCTTTTGGCAGATTGTCTGAAATTTCTGTCCGTTTCTGTCAAGCGGTTAAAAAGATTTCACTCTTACTATAGCAGAGACCCAAGTGGGCTACGGACTATACATATCCAGGCATAACATTTATCTTTATCATATTCAACTTAACAAAAAAAGAATAATTCAAGTACAAACTCTTCACAAAATATTGTCTGAGCAAAAAAATCACATAATTCATTTCCATTTAAATGTTACCATATATAAAGGACATGGGTAAATTTGTTAATCTTTGAGAGTTTTTCTACTCTTAATATTTGGACATCTGAAATAAAAATACAATAAAGTACTTTCAATTTTTCTAAAGATACTGTATATGGGGATGAAAATTTCAAACTTATCTGGTAATACTCAGAGAAAAGCTGTGTCAGATATATTTTGATTGACTATTTTTAGACTTTGGGCTACGGACTATACATATACTTTTTTTCATTTAATGAGAGACCATAGAAAAATAGTTGCTTTTTTCAGTAAATA